CGCTGTAGTGCTTTCACCCAGCTTTATGAGGCCTTTTGAATCACTTGAATAGCTGTCTTGGTTATAGAGAAAATCCCAATACCGAAAACGGCATTTTTCCCCTCAAATTGGCGCCAGAGCGTCATCCGTTGGACACTGTACTTAATCCCCGTCTTTAATTGGCCTTTTGGGAAGTTTGTTTTAATTTTTTATTAAAACTTACAAGCCCAGGGCTTTGTTTCTATGACTTTGGTCCTTTTACTATAAGTCCCCTTAAGCGAATAATTCTATCCTTAAAATGCATCAAATTTTGTGGATAACTTTTTGAAATACCGTGTCCTCTAACAAGCAGACAAACCAACACCTGTAAAAGCATGACTTCCTTTATTGATAGAGGTAATAACTTTTATAAAGCTACATTGTATTTTGATAAGATACAGCCAAAGATCCAATATGATTATTTTATCTTTATTCTTGTCTACATAGAAAAGATTAAAATAACCATTCATATAATTAATACTTTTGTTATTCAGTGGAGGATCCAAAAATCACATCAGGAAATATGAAGATATAGAATGGTTTCGTCTAGAAACTGGAGCAGATTCAGTGATGATAGCGAGAACAGCAGAATGGAATACTTCTGTATTTAGAAAAGAGGGAATGCTTCCCACAGATGAGGTCATAAAGGCTTATTTAAAAATTGTAAGTATTGATGTTTAAAAATTCACTTCAGTTACTTTATATCTGAACTCACAGTGAATGTCAGTGTCAGTGTTGCCATGACTAAGAAGTCATTGTCATAGCAACCAAGATTTTAAGAAAATGTTTGTATATTGTATAAACTGGATTTAATAATCTTCATAAATTCATTGGCAGTGTGACACAAAAAATAGATAACTGTGGGGCTAATTTATATTTGTAAGAAAAGTCTTCATTGAGCTAATAGACTATAAAAGCAACAATGTGGCCTACTTATTTGTAACTTTTGATTCAGGCAATAGACTACAACAATAATATGACCAATACAAAGTACACAGTGCAGCAGTATCTCCACGAGAATCTCAACTCTCCTGTAGGGGAGGCAGTAATGCAAGCAGAACTGATGAGAGACCTCTGGTGAGCATTTAGATCTCATTCAGAACAGGGGAATAACTAGTCCCAGGGTCATAATGGCCAACCCACTTGAATACTTCCCCAGAGGGAATCTGTTCAGTGTTTATTAGAGGTTTAGACGGCAAGCATTTTAGTGGATCGCCATATTTGACCCGTGGACTAGTTAGTCCAATGTTCTGATTGCAGCCTTAGAGATGTCATAATTGGAGACTTCTGTTATCACAAAGTCTGAAAGTCTTTAAAAACCTGAATTTTTATTTTAAACAGAGGGGGATATGTGTGGAAGCTGTCCGTTGTTTAACAAAATGTCACTTTTGCTTCAATGGTTTGATAAAATGTTTTGAAATACAGGTTAGAGGTAAAGCTTAACGTGTGAATATTTCTTCAGTGCACCCTTTTCTACACCTTTTACCTTCATTGGCTTAAAAAGGATATTTCCATTCTATCGTCATTACCAAATTACATTTAAAGAGTATATGATAATTGTTTCCACAGTGCACCTTGGGGTTTAGTTGAATATCTAGAAGAAACTGAACAAAAACGTCGAGAGAGAGCAGAGACTCTCATACAGACAATGGCAGATGAAGATGGAACTGGGTCATATGGACTGAAGAAAAGAAAACTCAATGATGGTTCCGAAATTATTGAAATGCCCATCAAGTTTATAAGGTATTGCATAATATACAATTATTAAATACATAAATTTATGAATATATAAAGATATAATAAACATTAATATGACAATAAATGATTGAAAATAAGTAATGATTATGATGATAATAATTCAAAATGATGTTAATGATTTAAAATAAAAGGAAGAAAAACACTTCACAGCAGTACATCAATCCCTACCATATAAAGCAGAGAAATAAAACGATTCATAATTTTTTGAAAAATTTTCTCATGCTAGATTTTCTTTTCTCAGCATGAAGAAAATTTGATAAATTATGTTCAGTATGGCTGTTATTGATGTATTGTAACTATTTTGACAGAAAAGAATATGAGGGCACAGGACCTAAAATGATTTTATATGAGTGGACAAAGAAGAATAACCTACAGAAACCAGTTTATGACACGGTAAGTGAACAGAATCAGTAGTCAGTAGACTGTAAACTACTAAACACAAGATAATATGAGTAAGTAAATGGTCCCGAGCAGTTAAACATTATTATGACATGTATAATTCAACCAGTGGAAATTGATATATTTTGTCATTTCATTTTGTCAGATGTACAATATATTTTTATTTATGTTTTTTTCAGGAACAAAAGGGAAATGACCGTTGCTTCCAGTCAGTTGTCACTGTTGATGGAAAAAAGTTTTCATCTTGTCACTGGTAGGTTCTATAATCATACCTTCAACATGTTTCGGTGCTTGAAGTTATTTGCAACCACCCTCACGGTTTCATCATGGAAATGATGCTGACAGTGAAGATTTGTCATATATTTCTACAATTTATAAATTGACAACTTTATTTCTCTTGACAAAACTCATGGAAAAGATTCATTATAAATATGAAATTAGAGTTTAAAAAATATTTAAAATTACTCTTGAAAATAAAATTTTAGCACTTGAATATTTATTTTGTATTTTCAAAATCAAATATATGAGTATTTCCAATTTGTAGGGAAAAGTCCAAGAAATATGCAGAAAATGCAGCTGCCATTGTGTGTTTACAGTATCTTGGACTTCATGATGAAAGAAAACTAAACATCGTCTGCCCAATTCCAGTGGATGGTGTTAGTTTGGGGACTCCACCAATCAGAGTGGTCCTACCAGAGTCCAACAAGAAAAAGGACAAATCAGGAGAGGCCTCACAAAATGATAATGTAGCACAACATAGTCTCAATAATGTAAATGTTTCTGGGCAAAGACAGAACAGTTCTCAAACAAAAGAAGGTATGATAGAAAAACGGGAGACTATAAATGCCACATGTGGGATTTCAGGAAATATTGATCCTTTAAATTCTGTGCATGATACAGCTGTCGTGGAAGGATTTAACTCACCTAATGGTGAAGTCAATGGTCACTGCAAGCTGAAAGATAAACACTAATTTGGATTTACATTTTAAAATCACCATTATGGTCTGAAATAGCATGTGGGTTACATTTTTAACCATAATGTGTCCAGTGCAGTTTTATGTAGAAAATTATTTTCAGAGGTAGAAGATCATTTTAAGTATTTCAGTAGCGTTTGAGTTTGAATAAAATTGCATGAAAGTTTCCATACCTCAAAGTAGAAAGATGTATTTTTTTCATTTTTGCAAAAATATGACAATTTAGGTTATATTTTTAGTATATCTTTCTTTTTGTGCACAATTTAAACTTGACACTTTTAAAAGATTTTGACTACATTTGCCATTTAAAAAAGCTGAAATCTTTGCTCTTGAATACAGAAGCAAAGAGATGGACTTGAGTGTTTGAAATCAATGTATAGTGATAGTTGACATCAGGGATTGATAATTATTTAAGAATAATATCGAGTCTAAAATCAATATGTGCTCAATAGACTTAACTATATAGGTAAATGTACAATATTTTATTTAACAAATACAATTTAAAGGGTATTAAGAAAGTAAAGGCGATGGAAGAAAGTGTTAACAATGCCATTACAATCTTTTTTCATAGGATACTGTATTAATGGTTGGCTCTGTAATGTATTTATGGTACAAATAGAAAATTTCAAAACTGGACCACTGTCAGCATCATTTGACGTAAATCTCCCACGAGTCTCTTGAGACCTTTTAGCATTTTTAAGTGGCTTTTATTTTATGTTCTTTTATCTGTTCAGGTAAAACTATATTAATTACTTTTATTAATTTATAACTTCTTAATTTATAATAAAGTATAACAAAATGAGCAAGCTACAGCACAATGAGTGGGCATTTTTTCTTTCATAGTCACTAAATGAATACAGGCTTTCAAACATATTGTCATGACGGTATCCAAACTAACTGGGAGTTAACTGGTGCACACTATAATCCATCATAATGCACAGCTATTAACAAAAGTGCAACACTGTCAAATCATCATGGACAGGCATGCTGGAATAAATTGTCTAAGACAAATAATTTCAACCAAGTATGCAAGAAAGCAAATTTTACATCAGTTTATTGTGTTGGCTTCTTGTTATCTTTTCAATAACATCAATTTATTTTGCTTCTTCTTTGTATTTAACAAAGCAAACTACTTGAATTCAAAAGTTCTTTTGCAGTAAGTACTTATCAACTGAGCACTTTTCCATCTTCATTAGCCATTAAAAAGTTGCTTTTTTACTGTCTCTCTTGGTTATACAAGTTAACATTCAGAGGTGATATTTTTCAGAACATTCAGTGGTGATATTTTTCAAAAACAACAGAGATACATTTCAAGGTTTTCTTTCGAATTGTTCAATCCTTGCATTTCCTTCAGTGTTATTATTATTCGTTCCAATGGGATGTTTTCCCCCCAATATTGTTTGTTGTGTCAAAATTGTGCATTTTTTCTAAACTTTGCTATTTCTTCTCTGCTTCTGCTTCTTCTGTTGGTACAGTGTTGGCCTCGGGTCTCATTTGTGGGAAGAAGAGGACTTCCTGTGTAATTGAAAAATTATAAATTAAAAAATATATTAACACATATTTGTTAAAAATAGTGCCAAGCTGTATATCTGCTCTATTGCTAGGTATATGATTAAATTTTTGGAATAATGAAGAAGATCCAATTGTAGAATGTGAAATACTAAAATTCTATAACAATCCATTCCCACAATGTTCCTGTCCCTCTGCAAATTTAACTTCGTGATAAATAGTTTCCAGATGGCAGTGAATGTCCATTTCAAGGGCACTAATTTCTCCATCTCCCTCCCAACCAATCAGGGATGAGATTGCGATTTAGTAAAAAAGTAGGAAAATATGGCGCGGAGCCCAAAGGGACGCTTAGGCCAATGATATTTTTAGCTCCCAAAAAGTTGGAAATCTGACAAAAGTTGAAAAATGTCATCCCTGACCACTACTGCCATTACCTTGATATTATTGGAGTCGGTCAAGAACATGGTCACTCTGTCAATGCCCATTCCCCAGCCAGCCGTGGGGGGCAGACCATACTCCAGAGCTGTGCAGAAGTTTTCATCTACAAACATTGCCTCGTCATCACCTGCATCCTTGTCCTAGGGGAAAAAAAGTTCAGGGTTCTAACCATAAATCAAATTTAATTTTTATACAAAGAAATATGAAAAATCTATATTTACAAAAATTAATGAACTGAGATGGTACACATGCATTTAAAATAAACTGATTAGAGTCACAAAGTATTGAGTGAAACACATCAACTACACAAGCTGTGCTGCTTCTATAGTTTTTCAATCAATTGCTTATATTATAGCCGTTTTTATTTTTTGTTCTCATATTCAAAGATTAATGAAGTAAAACAGGAAAGGCTCACATTCAGCAGGTGACCTTTACATAGCAAAAATTTAGAAATTTTTTGGAAAAAAAATTTGTGTTATATAAAGATCCAACGTGAACTTGATTTTTTATGAATAACAAACCAATAAATATAATAAGATAATAACTAATATTACTTTGGCTTGAGCGTTGAACATCTCTCTCTGTACTACAGGGTCATTCAACTCTGTGTATGCATTGCAGATCTCCTTCTTCATCACAAACAGCTCAAAACGCTCCGTTAATCCAGGGGTGGAGCGATGCCTTGAAATGAAAGGTACTCTTGGTGAAGAAATGATCTCACAATGTAATATTGACTTTTCTTCTAATGCTGAGTATAATTTACTTTTGCTTACGAAACATGAAATATATTCGTAAATGTTTGAGAATCAGTCAGTAACAGTTTTTGTTTTCAAATTTTAATTTGGCTAAAAAATTTCACTTATCTGGCTAAAAGATAATACTATTTGCTAAAAACTATTACAAAAAAAATCTTATCCATAATTAAAGCCCCTACAGAATCTTTGTCATTTACAGCCAACTATCATGAGAAGAGAGAGGCAGATACAAATGGAGATAACAAAATAAATACAGACATAAGGAGACCCACGCCAGAGGTCAGACAGTCTGGTCCTAAAACTTACCACTTGGCCAGTGGGCTCATGACCTGTGGGTGGTCAGTTATAAAGGTAGGGTTGACACACTGGACCTCTATAAAGTCTCCAACCAGCTGGAATATAAAATCTACATTAAAACTGTAATTATTTTCAAACACACCGCTTTTTCCCCAGGATTGGGGTTACACTACAGGCTGCTGAAAATTATTACCTGTAATTTCCTACAAAATTTCAGAGAGTCCAAGCCATCATTTTTCAAAAAAATTCATAAGTTGTCCAGCCATTTTTGAAAATATTGGCCGTCCGGTGGCACCAGCTGCTGTCCAATTTGGTTTAATGGGAAAAGCAAAACACTGTTATGGAAAGTGCAACTACAGTAGGGTAAGGCATATTTTTATCTATTACTGGTATACTATTAGTATACTACAGGACTGTAATGTCCTGTAGCCAGAAAGTGAAAATTGATAAGGCAAACCATGCCTTGCTAAGGGGTTGGATAGGGGTGTTTGTTGCTGAACCATTCCACCTGGGCTAGCTTTATCAGCAAAATAGATACAGAGTAAGTCTAGATGAAGGTAGTACTTAAAAAAAAAAAAAAAAAAAACAAATTAAACTTTCAAAAATATTCATAATTTAGTATTTGGATTACCTTATCCAGTAACCTGGCTGAGGTCCTGGGTGGAGTACACTCCACATTGTGTTGTATACACAGCTTCTCCAGGAACTGCCTGGTTTCTGAAAAATAAAAAATGTTGTCATGTCGCTTATACAGACAATATAACCTTGTTGCTGATTTCCCTCCTGAATAAATGTCAATCCCGAAAATTTCATCAACATTTGTGAAAAGAAATTTTGGAATTTCTTGTATGCTTGTATTGCAAACACAAACAATTACTGATAGATGTATAACCTCTGTTACTGTTGACAGTTGCAACACCAATAAAAACCCAACTTTCTTTGTTTAAATTATCACTAATAAATTAAACAAGTCATGTGATCTATCCTTACCTTCAGTGCCAAGATCTTTGGCTGGTGGAAACTTCACCTTCAGAATGTCTTCCAGATCCTTGATCATGCTGATCTTTCTGAAGGGTGGTGTGAAGTCCACCTCCAGTGCCTCCCCTTCTGGTCCGTCTGGGTGATAGACCACTTTGTAGCTACCCGTAATTGACTTGACCATGCCTTAATAATGGAAAGGGGGGGGGGTGCATTAATAAATTTTGCCAAAAAGATAATTGTCTGGGGTAGCGTTAACACTCCCAAATTTAGCCAAATGCTAAAACTGACTTAAATTGGCTAAAGAAAAAGGGCATGATTTGTCTTGTTTTAGGCAAATTATAACCATTTTGATGACAAATTGACAAAAATGTGGTGATTTGGATAAGCAAAAAAGACTGCTAGCGCTACCCCGATTGTATATTGAGTTTGATGGGTATTTACTAATAGAAAACTCTGATTGATAGTAATGTGTCAATCTAAGGAACAATTGTATGTTTTTGTCTGTTGATTTGTTACTCGATTACTGATTGTACCTTGAAACCTGTTCCTGTTGTTTATGCCATGGAAATGAAATAATGAATCAATGATACATATGTTTTTGCATATATTTGAAATCCATTAGGCAATTTAAAAAAATCTGTCTTTGATCCTGCTTATATCATTTTCATGGAGTATACATTACATGACTCGATACTTTTTTATTTGCCTCTAGACATCATTCTACCCTAACCTGACACCAATGTTTCTGTAATCTTCATCAAGTCCTGATAGTCTGCATATGCCATGTAGAATTCACATGTCGTGAACTCTGGATTGTGTGTCAAGTCAATCCCCTCATTTCTGAACTGCCGACCTATCTCGTACACACGGTCTATGCCTCCAACTACCAACATCTGAAACACATATTAATTACTCAAATATTTAAAACACCTTAAAAGTTATATATTTCAATTTTCTATTATTATCAGAGCTGCTTCTCAGAACTTTAAAATTTTCTGTTTCAAACATTTATCAAAAAATATCATTTGGAAAAATGCATATTAACCAATTAATATCAAATTAGTTAGTAATGACCAAATAACCCAATAACTGTCTTAGCTACTCCGGTTTTACTACAGAATTGTAGTTGCTTATAAATTTCCAATTCAATCTTTTTTTATACAAAAAAATTTATATCACTTTAACTGAATCAATTTTAAAAACCAAAATCAAAAGCAAAGCTTAATTTATATTTTCTTCTTAATCGAAATTTGATCTTTTTTTTGTCTCTAAAAATAATCTTTTATCTTGCCAAAGTTGTATAAAAATACAAGATTAGAAGAAAAACAATTGTGAAAGTCTTTGTATAACTACGAGTTTTTTTTTTACAGTCTTTGTACAATGTTATCCCACCTTGTGATATAACTCGGGTGCAACCCTCATGTACAGATCCATGTCAAGGTCATTGTGATGTGTAATGAAAGGCTTGGCAGTGGCTCCACCTGGGATCATGTTCATCATGGGTGTCTCAATCTGGCGAAAAAAAAAAAATAAAAATAAATAAATAAATAAATAAATAAATAAAAGTCCATCTCAGGCAAAGTGCAATTTTGAAAGAGGAAGGAAAATAATAACAATGAAAACCGTGATATCGATCAAGTTCCAATAACTCCTAAAAATCCTAACACTTCAAGTACTACCACATGTCAAGTAATATAAAACACACTGATTCAATAAAACTACAGCTAAAACATAAATATAAATTTTAAAAGACACTCTGGTATATTGCAACCACCAGTTAAATCTGCAATAACTTTACTGAACTTACCTCCAGAAAACCAAGTCCATCTAAAAATTTTCTGATATAATTGATAATTCTTGCCCTGGTCACAAACTTCATCCGCACATTGTCATTTAGAATAAGGTCCAAGTATCTTTGCCTAAATCTGGTCTCCTAAAATGAAAATAACCAGCAGTGGTTTAGAGTACAATATGCTTACATTAGACTAGTTTTGGTAATCACACAATTTATTTTTTCTCTTTCTCTCTCTCTCTCTTTCTTGAAAGAGGTTTTAGTAAATAAATTAATTTGGCCAAATGTTCCTAATAAATTACCAAATAATACAATAACTGACTCCACAATATTTCTTAGCTTCACAGCCTTATTACAGAATTGTAGTTGCCTAGACTAGTTAAAGTCTGAATAAGTTTTCTTTCTGTATCCACTATAAAATTTAAGCTAAAAAATAATAATAACAACAACAACATGTAGATATTTTCGTGAAACAGGCCCATGGCCACCAACCTTGTCTTTGAGACCATAATGGAGGTGAGGCAGTTGATGAAGACACGGAGAAAGCAGCTCCATTTTTGTGGGAAGAATGCTCAGCTCTCCCTTCTTGGTTTTACCTGGATTGCAACAAAAACAAAGCCCATCATCAAGCATGATTTTGTAGAGAAAGTTCCTAGATTTTTTTGCAAAAAA